CCGAAAGGGCTATGTACTGTTCTTTATATCAAGCGATAGCTTTCAAGTGCCCGACCCCAATCTGGATGATCTTCCCTTGATCAATGAGTGAGAAAGCAAGAGCCAGTCAGAGAGTCACCATAGCCAAGTGATGTTTTCAGGTGGTTAAATCTAGAAGTAGGACGAAAAGAAGACGTAGAGTAGTCTTTGTCTTGTCTACCTTGATATTGCCCCTATCTATCAACGGGGACCCCCCCAAAGGCGAATAGGAAGCTTCAAGCGATCTGGGATCCCACCTTTGATCGAGACGAAGGTGTAGTTTTAACTAGGAATCCAAGGGTTGTCGATCAGGTTAAGTAGTAGTTTTATGTCAGATTGTTGCTCATCGAAAGGGGGAGACCCATTCAAAGCTCAGTGGTAGCACTCGACTTCGGTGCTAGGCCTGACGGAAGTTAAAGAGGGAGCACAATACGCATTGATGAGCAGCCCGACTTAGACGACTAATGCCTTCTCCCAACCTCGGTTTTTAGGTTGAGCACAAGAAAAAGAAAGTCTCATGTACGTTTTCGCACCTTATACCATGGAAGAACTTCACCCAAAAGTACGTTTTCACCTCCAATATTTCCGACTTAGACGACTAATGCCTTCGAGACTCTGTTAATTCGCAGAGTAGGAAGTGTCTGAAGACGGTGGTGTTAGCTCTCCCCAGCCGAAGTTCGTAATCGCGAATAAGTCGGAAAAATTCTCCCCAAGCAGAGTTTATCTATCACCAGCAATAGAAGATTATCCTCAGTGGAGTTTATTTCTTCCACAGGCAGAAATTTAATCCCCGACAGGGTTCATTATCACCAACAACAGTAATTCATCCCCAGCTGAGGTTATTTCTCCCAAATCAACAGATCTTCTAGCCGAGTATCTCTCTTCCCCAGAGTCATTCTCTCGCCAATTTATTCCCAAATCATCTTTGGTCGTTACCCTCAGCGAGCACGAAGAACTCAACTCTTTGTATTCTCCAGCAGTAGTCCAAGATTTACTCTCCCCAGCTAGAGAAAATCACAAGAACATTGCATATCCATATATCGTGGCATACGCATATGCATCATATAGCACAATCTCATTTATTTTGAGAACATCATTACTCAATACATATCATGCATCATGACATCACATATGACTAACTCTTTACCTTTCAGGGAAAGATACAATCAAATTCTCACAAGTTTTCTCTAGTTCAGTCAAATCAATACTAAGATTTCTATTCCAGTTTAAGTTATGAAGCCCGAATTCGACTGGATAATATCTTAATTTCTTCATCATACTGTGAAACCCGGAGAACGACCGGATAACAGTACCAAAATTCTATGAAGCCTGGAATCGACCAGATAGTGGTATACCCCAAATTCAAAGCTATGAAGCATGGAGATCAACCGGAAAATAGTTGAACCCCCAGCAAGTTACTGTGAAATCTGGAAATCGACCAGATAGCAATACAAGACACCATGAAGCTTGGAATCGACCAGATAGTGGTATATCATAAACACAAGCTGTGAAGCCCAGAAAACTGCTTAATAAAGTATTGTGAAGCCTGGAAATCAACTAGATAGCAGTACAAGACACCATGAAGCCTGGACTCAACCAGTTATTGGTATAAGACACCGTGAAGCCTGGATCACGACCAGATAGCGTCAAAGGATACTGAAGCCTGGGACACGACCAGATAACAATATAAGGTATTGCGAAGCTCGGAATTCGACCAAATAACAGTTTACCCGGCCAATTACTAAGAAGCCCAAAATCGACCGGATATTAGTATGCCTTAAATTCAAGTTGAAGCCCAAATGCGACCGGATAACGATTTAATTCCATCTGAAGTCTGGAGCACGACCAAATAAGAAGTGAGAAATTGCAAAGCCTGGATAACGACTAGATCAATTAGAAAATTAGGTTTGTTCTTGATTTAATTTTTTAGTTCTTTTCTCAATAAAATAAAATACAAAAATAGGTCAAATTAATGGTTTTTCTTAATTTAAATTAATTAGTTATTAGGTTTGTATTTATTCAATTAAAACCTTATTTTCTCAAAATAATTAAAAACACAAAAAAATTATTTTTCTTTCAATTAGTTTTAGACGGGGTCAAAACCCTAATTTTTTCTCGTTCTCAATCCATCGCGTGCATTTATTATATTTTTACGAAATTAAGGTAACTGCTCATGGTATGTAATAGTTTAATTAGGATTTTTATTTTATTTATCATTTTACGGGTTTTTGGCTATGTAATTAATCCCCCTCCCTGAAACCTTGTAATACTGTAGTTTTATTTTTCCGCATTTTAATTTTCGCAAATATTAACTATTAGAAGTATGATAATAGGATTGCATGACAAGACTGTATGTTAATTTAAAATGGTTAGCAAACCCTAAATGTGCAAAGATAATAACTGAAATCAAATCACTCGCACATGCGCACTCCTAGGGTATACTCTCACTTCGGTTGTCTTCGGTAAACAATCATTAAGTATA